ATACCACATACATATTCATCGATTCATGCTCTATTTAAGATTCGTACTATGATAAAAATCATAATTAATAAATATTTTGTCAAATTTTTCTTTCTCCCAACTTTCGTCGCGTTCATTTATTGCGATTGCGAATTGTGTGTCATCAATAAAATGGTATATTTATATTTATGTGTTTATGTGTGTGTGTGTTTGTGTGTGTGTGTGTATGTGTGTAGCATTCGCAATTAGTGCAATCGCAGGACCGAATTCCACAACCAGCGAGCGCCAGCAGCGGCAGCAGTCGCACCAAAACTCTTCTGGCCATGCCCTATTTCCAGGCGTTGCTCAGCAACCTGCAGGTGAGCCCATCCTTTGGATTGGTTTCAGTTCAATTTCGTTTCGTTTCACTTCATTTCGTTGCGTTTCTTTCTTTCTGTGCGCATTAATTCTTTCATTTGAGTTTGTTTTTGATTTAAATGCATTCATTTTTGTCGCTTCTTCTTCTTCGATCCAATTTTTCGTTTACTTCTTGCTTAAACCGTTAAAATTTTGTGCAGCCCCAAGGCCCCCCTGCTGCCATACAGCACATACATATATGCATGTATGTATGTATATCGCAGTGTAATTGTAATTGTTAGCCCCAAGGTAGGCACCGAAATGCATGTGTGTAATTAGTGCACTTGCTGTGCGTGGGCAGGGGCGTAAACGTGGGCGTGGGCGTGGGCGTAGGCGTGCCTGTATGCGAGAGCAAATTGCCAAAGTTCTGCATATAAATTTACAGGCTGCGCATATTTGTCTTTCAGCCTGATTGGGACTTGCTCCCCGCAGACGCCGCACCGCCGCAATTGCAGCAATTTGTCAATGAGAAGGTCCCACAAAATTCGGCCTTAAAATTAACTAGAATTTTACGGCTAGATAACATTCAGCTGCAGTGTTTTGTTAGTCTTTGGCTATAATTGAGTTATTGTTATCTATAAACATTGCTTTGTCTAAAGACGATTAGTTTCGAAATTGTAAATTACTTTCATTTGAATTTCAATTTGGGTTTATTAGTAAAGGACTTACAGGTAACTAGGTATTTATAAGAGCTAAACGAACTCACTAGATTTTAGTCACGAGTTTATTATGTGGGTTGAACAAACAAGAGTTTTGCATTGCCTAGATCTATGTCTTAGTCGCTATTTAAAGCGATCAAGCGATTATGATAAGAGCTCACCGAGTTTAGACAGACCATACAATCATTTGCTATGAAAAGGATGAATGAATGTAACATTGAACTGAAACTATAAACAATATAGGTTATCAAAAACATATGAGTCTTCTTTCAAATGCTGTTCCTATTTCTCTTTATTAGTATTGCTGCAATATCAAACAGACAAATTTTTAATTATAAGTTAGGAAAAAAATAAAATCAAATATAATGTAGTCAGTCAGTCTACGGCACAGCCTCAGGCAAACCTGACTATTCAAAAAAAAATAAATAAATAAAAATAAATAAACATTTTGTAAATGTTATTTGCTTAGGTTTAGTAAATATTATCTGCTTAGCTGTCATTGTAAATACATAGATTATAGCACAATTTTTCTTAATGAAGATAAAATCATTGCTCTCGCAAAAGATTTGATAAATGTGAAATTAAATGGAGCAAAAAAAAATTCACAATTAATTTTGAATATGCTGTCTGACTGCCAATTATCAGCATTCGTTTTTTTAAAGATTCTTTTCAAAGTATTTTGAATAAAATAATCCCCCCCACAAGGGTCAAATGAATTGCAGGAATATAGCTGAAATGATATTGAAATTATGCAATTTATTAAATGTATGTAAAATATTATATGTAGCGGGCGAACCCCCTAGCCCCCCTAGGATTTCTTTATTAATCTTGAAAACACAGCAATTATAGTGCTAATCAAGAGTTATAAAATTGAATAGTTTAAAAATTTGTTTGGTATTTATTTAATTGTAGTCTCTGTTTATAGTATAAAGGCAGCTTATGGCAGATTGCA